CGGTTAGAAAATTTTACTACTAACAGAGATACAAAAGTGAGTGGTAGGTATAAAAAGGTTGACTACCCCTGGCTTAGAGTGAGCTGTAAAGCACTATGAAGCAGCATATAAGTTTAAGTGCTATTGCTATTGCTAAATATCAAGAGGTATTTCATCCACCTGTTAATAACTTACTAGCATTTAGGAAGACTGGCTGATGTCCTGCCTTGTTTTAGAGATAAGGTGTTTTTTTTTTTTCCATTTGGATAGAATAATTAACTTTTCAAATAAACTGCTAATTATTCAATTGACATTTAGCCAGCTTTCTTTATAACTATATACTTACAGGAAATTCAGGTGCTGGTAATAATTGGGCAAAGGGTCATTATACCGAAGGGGCCGAATTGATTGAAAATGTGATGGACATCGTGAGGAATGAATCTGAAGGCTGTGACTGCCTCCAGGGCTTCCAGCTTGTCCATTCTCTCGGAGGTGGGACAGGCTCTGGAATGGGCACACTTCTGATTAACAAGATCAGAGAAGAATATCCCGATAGGATGATGAAGACTTTCAGCGTAGTGCCTTCACCCAAAGTTTCGGACACTGTTGTTGAACCGTACAATGCCATCTTATCGATCCACCAGCTGATAGAGAACACAGATGCAACCTTCTGCATTGACAATGAAGCTCTGTATGACATCTGCTTCAGAACACTGAAGCTCCCCTCACCCACCTATGGAGATCTAAATCACTTGGTGTCCCTCACCATGAGTGGAGTCACGACCTCACTTCGCTTCCCTGGCCAACTCAATGCAGATTTGAGAAAGTTGGCAGTCAACATGGTGCCTTTCCCCAGACTTCACTTCTTTATGCCAGGTTTTGCTCCACTAACAGCTCGGGGCAGTCAACAATACCGAGCTTTGTCAGTTCCAGAACTTACACAACAGATGTTCGATGCTCGGAATATGATGGTAGCTTGTGACCCACATTACGGGCGGTATTTGACGGTGGCCTGCATCTTCAGAGGCCACATGTCTATGAAGGAAGTGGATGAACAGCTGTTGGCTGTGCAGACTAAAAACAGCAGTCAATTTGTGGAATGGATCCCCAACAACGTTAAAGTGGCTGTTTGCGACATTCCTCCTCGTGGGCTAAAAATGTCTGCCACCTTCATAGGCAATAACACGGCCATTCAGCAGCTCTTCAATCGCCTCTCTGATCAATTCTCAGCCATGTTCAAAAGAAAAGCATTTCTCCACTGGTACACGGGTGAAGGGATGGATGAAATGGAATTTTCTGAGGCAGAAGGCAACACCAATGACTTGGTTTCTGAATACCAGCAGTATCAGGATGCGAAAGCTGATACAGAAGAATATGAGGAAGTGGAGGAGGAAGTCAGGGAAGAAGAAAAAGAAACAGCTTAAATGGAATGGCAATGACTGACCTTTGGTCTTTAAAAATAACAACACTTTATTAATATAATATGCCGATTGTTACCACTTAAGGTTGCCAGACTCTCTCTAAAAAGGAATGGAAATCAAATGCAGGAACAACAATGGCTATATATTAAGCCAAGTTCTAACTAACTTTTTTTAATTTAAATGCATTGCAGCACTAACCCAATGGCTTAGTGTTTAAGAGCTTCGCCTTAGGCAATAATTAGGTACCACTTTGGGAGGAAGGTAAGTGTGACATCATGCTGGCCACCTGACCATGGAAATGTCTTTGGCTCAATGGCCTTGAAACGGAGATGAACATCGCCCCCCAATAGTTGGCAATGAATAGCAGAGTAAAATCCGCAGTGACTCCTTTATTTTTTAATCTTTTTTAATGTAACATTACAGGTAGTTCTCAACTTACAACTATTAATTTAGTGACTAAAGTTATGGCAGCATTAAAAAAATGACTTATGACTGGTTCTCACACTTATGATTAGTTATCGTTCCCTGCACTCATGTGATCAATGGTGGATTCACTTATCAACCATGGTGATTTGCTTAATGGCAGCAAAAAGGTTGTAAAATTTTGAGTACAACTCACCAACTATCTCATTTATGGAAGTTCAAATGGCAACTGTGGTTGTAAATGCAGACTATCTGCATGTATTATGTGAATACTTTTTGTGTTTTGAATGTACTGTAAGTTATAGTTCATTGTAACTAACTCCAAAATATCAACATGGCATTAAGATGACTACCTAACACTACCAATGTCATTGCTAAGAGCTTCAGTGGGGAGAGCAGGGCCAGTGTTGATACTTTAAATTACCTATTTTATACTAATTCATTAAATCAAATTTGCTTTAAGAATTCAGTCATAGTTAAAAGATTAAATACAGCCATTTAGAAGAATAAATACATTCTGGAAAAGAGAAGTACTACTGAATGTATCAGAACATATTCTATGTAAAGTATGCATGTGTATATATGGAATGCTTCATATTACTATATATGTATATACATACACATATACACATGTTGGTGTGTACTATGTATTTATCGGTAAAAAATGAGTTTTTAGTGGTTTGAGCAAAAGCCCTGAAATGATAATATGTATATATTTTCCTTATAAAAATATATTTACAAGATTATTAGCTATATTTGTATATAGGAGAACCAATAAAAAGGCTAGAAAATTTGAACTCTAGTTCCACTTTAGGCATAAAAGCTGGCTGGGTGACTTTGAGCTAGTCGCTTTATCTTATCCCAACCCACTTCACAGGATTGTTGTTGCTATGGGGAAAATAGGAAGAAGGAGTGTATGTTCACCGCATTGAGTTACATAAAAGTAACAAAATAGGATAAAAGAAATCAAAACAAAATTTCATTTTTAGGACAGGAAATATATTATATAATAAATCTATGGGCCTTTTAAGTTGTTATAGGACTCTACTAGTTTTTTTACCAAAGATTTTTCAAGGGAACTTTCTTGCAATTCCTTGTAGAAATAAGTTTGAATTTATCAACTTGATGTTAAGATGTTTTAAATGACATGCTGGCAGCAAACGTTGGAAATTAACACATCTCTAAATGTACCAATTATGGTAAGCTAGAGACTCAAGAAATTATAGAAACGAAAACCTGGAGACTAGATCATAGAGGTCATCTGGTTTCGATATTTTTCCCGTGTAGCATCCAATAATTACTTCAAACCAGGGTTGTCAAACTCCCGGCCCGGGAACCAGATGCATCACACACTGGCCACACCCGGGGAAAAAAGCCCTGACACGTTACATGATGCCTCCATGATGTGAGTTTGACCCCCCAGCTTTCAACAATAGCATTATATAAAACATTGCACTAAACCAGCTCCCCCCTACCAGACAACTCAGATGCTGCCAGCTACAGTAATAATATACATTTCTTTTTATCTTGCACGTTTGCTGATTGTGTGTTGTGCAGATTTCTGTTGAATGTTTATACAAAATATGAGTATCTCCATAAACATACAAAATATTTATTTTCCTATAGTATAAAACTGATTTTGCTAGCAAAAAAATGGAGAAATACTTCTCTTAGCTGCCATTTATTTTACTCGCATCATTTTGGTTTTATTTAAGCCACTGTTGCAATGCAAGTATTATACACAATCCAATAAAATGATATTAAACAGAATTTGTATCCATTTCTATGAATTAAAATGTGCCTTGCGGTTTACAATGTTAGTTTGTACAAATTAAATCTTTCCACCATTTCTTCAAAGGTCTCAGAAAAGGTTGTCACTATAGAAGTGCAAACATTCCCAATTTCCCTTCTTTTTAAGTCCTCAACCAATCTATAAAATATTAAGGAATCATCACCTTAATGACTGGCATAGTGTTACTTTCTTCAAATGCTCCTTATGTGGTTGTGGTTGAAGAGTTCATTTTTTGTTTCATCAATCCAAGCCAATTCTTTCCAAAAGGTTTCAAATTTATCAACATTTTCTTTTGCAAAATTTGGCTGAGCCTCCCTTTTTTGCCCTCCCCCCAAACACAATATAACTCACAGTGAAAGACAGAAAATCCCTAGCCCAGTGAATCCTGGGCTAGTTGCATAATTTGGGAAGGAAACCAGATTTCTCTCCCATACAGATTACTGTTGGTGATCCATGGTGCAACTAACTTACTGAATTTATAAACTGTATGCAAAAAAGAACCGTGCATTCAAATTTAAGGGGGGGGGGGTCATTTTAATTCTGTGCCATATAATAGTGGTGGTAACTTCTCTTCTCTTGAGAATTCACTGAAACATACAATCTGACCACAGTGGAATATTTAGAGTGGATAACTTTTACAGAAAAGTCTATGTAGTAAGCTTCAATGCTAACTGAATATTTAAAACTAGCTCTCTACCACATTTTTCATTTATTAATTTTTATGCCGCTCATCTCATTGATGCAGTGACTTTGTGAAGGATTATGAACTCATTGAATACAGCTTTGGAAGTTAGCTGTTCTGTTTATATAGAAAAACTACTTCTTGTTATAAATTAAAATGGTTTTTATCTTAAATGCAGTTTTCTTGGCAACATCGACATTATTGCAAAGCTCTGCAGGAAACAAAATATGGGGAAAAAACAATGTGACAAATACTAATAACATCCAGCTAATGTTAAGCCATTTTAAACCTCATTTCTTACATCACAATCAATTTTAATACTGCCACTTTCCTAAATGGAATTTTGAAGCATTTAGTTAGGATTGCAATGTGTTCATATCCACTCATAAAAAGCATCATTTAGACCTTATTTATTACATGTCAAATTACCAATACATTTTCTTTTATAAAGATCTCATTGTATTCTTAAATTGTTATGTTTTAAGTATCACTATTATTTCCAAGCTAAAGTACAGCTTTTCAAATTTTAAAGCTACTTAAATAAATGTGATTGCACACCTTTGTCTACATACTTGGTAATAAATTAATCAATGGAATTTAATTCCAAGCAAGCATGATCCTTTATGTGATCACTGAATTTTCCTTTCACCAAATATTTCTTATTGATTTTCAATAATATTTTTTCTGCCACGAAGGACTCAAATATCTTCTGTAACTAGTGACCTTGTTATTCAAAACAGGCATTAAACTGAAAACAAATTTTTAATAAGCTACAATCCAATAGAACTCAATTCCTTGAAAAGGAATTTCATTATTGCTTGATAAAACATAATCACTAAAAAAATTTGCATTAAGTTTCATTTATTGGCATGGTTCATTTATATATATATACATGGTGGTTTCACAAAATGGGAAGCAACTGTCCACAAGCATACCAACGAGTTGTCATTTTTCCTTTCAGAAAATGGGTTCTGTAAAGACAGGTAAAAATATTCAATAAGAATTTAAAGCAGCACAGAGTATGAATTAAAATTGACAGCTTGAAAACTAATATCACCGTACCAGTCCCTGTATTTTTTAAAGTATTATCCAATTAAATTATTCCATTGCGTCAATGAGCTGATACGTAAAAGGCTAGAACCTAAAAACACTGAAATTGTTTCCATATCTTTGAAACACACACGTGAATCTGCACCTTTCTTTGTGGTGTTTGCTGTAGCAATTTTTACCACAGAAGTCACTTTAAATGCCCATTGTTTTCAGCCCTGGGGAACTACTGCTATAATGAAGCTGAATAAAGAAACAGATCTAGGATGAAGAATTGTGGAAAGCTGTTGGATAAGGCAGAACTGCATGCAGTTTCTCTCTATCTTAGCATGCCAGCTATTTCCAGTGTTGGAATTTCTACTTCAGTTGCATACAGAACAAGGAAAGCACAACCCTCCTAGCCATTGTCTGAGATGGCAAAATCCACTGGAATATCCTAACAGCAGAACCAGTAAAACGGTTTCTACATACAGTTCTATTCCTTACAACCATTTCCACTCAGTACTCTCTCTCTCTCTCTCTTATCCATCTATCTGTTGCATTTAGAAACCATCCTTCTCCCTCTCAGAGAGTGGAGTACAAATAAAATGTTCAAAACATAAAAACTGAATATAAAATATAGGCAAGAATAGTTTAAAGTTTAACATTAAAAGTTAAGTAAAAGTTGGGCAGGGGGCGACAGCCTTCAGAATACTACCTAGCCCCACAGTTATGTGCCACTCTGTAAGCACCAAGCCAGATAGCACAGTCAGGCCTATAAGTATTTTCAAAAGACTGGGAAAGTGGGAATCAGTCTCATCTCCGGCGGGAATAGAGAAGGCTCTCTTCCTATACCCCACCAGTCGGAATTCTTTACCTGCCTGGATGCAATGTAATGGGACAAAGACAGCTAGCTAGGTTAAATATAGGCAATCCTAAACTATTATACTAATACATTTCTTGCTAGAATTTTGAATGGTCTCTTGATTCAGCAAAAAATGATTAGTAATAGTCAATTAAATCACATTTTTTATGGCTGCATAGATAATCTGCATTACATAAGACATGATACAGTTTAATGCTGTAAAATTGTAGATCTGAGGGAAACAGAAATCTCTAAAACTTCTTTACTTACTTGTGTTATTCCTTTTTGGGTTTTATAATTTTTACATTACTTCCAGCTGCTTTCTCTGCCTCTGCTTTAAACTGAGGTTTCAGGGCTGCTCTTACTGCTTTTGCACAGATCTGAGAGTAGCGGATGTAGCTGAAAGAAAAATAAATATGGAGCAAAAGTGAACAACTGTGGAAAATTAGAAAAGCATCCTAGAACAGTCATTACAAAGACCAGGACCTCTAATAAAATGGAAGCTGGGCCATAGTGGCTCAGACATTTAGTTTAGTTTACTTTATTGTCATTGCACCTTGTACAATGAAATTAAATGTGATCTTCAGTGTACAATGACAGTTCAGGTTGTAGTTAAGGAATCATGTGCAGTCATTAAGCACAACATCAGGTGGCGGCTGGTTTCCTCATTGACTTGACTTATTGGAAGCTGGCAGTGAAGATCACAAGTGGTGATGATGTGACTGTGGGAAGCTGTAATCATTGTAACTGTGTGCCGGTTGCCAAGTGCCCTAATCATGATCCTGTGACTGTGGGGACACTGTGACAACCACAACTTCAAGGACTGGCCATAAGTCTTCTTGTTGAGCACTGTTGTAACTTCCAATGGTTGCTGAACAAGAAGTCACTAAGTGAGGATTACCTGTATAGTCAAAAGCCCTTCCCTGTCTTTCATGGTTGACAAAGCACAATGATACTCCTAACGACAACAATAGGACAAACCACTTGGTGGGCTCCGTAGTACTCTGGGGTCTCTGGCCTGCTATGTGAGGGCAATATTGAGATGGGTGAGATTTAAGAAACTGAAACT